GCCCGAAGCCAAAGGCCTGCAGCGTGCCTGTGAGGTACCCGTGATCCACTCTGTCAAATGCCTTCTTCCCCTCCAGGGATAGGAGGGCAAAAGACAGGCCACCCCAGTGCATTAGCTCCAGGAGGTCCCAAACCAGGTACAGGTTGTCAAAGATGGAACGTTCAGGCACTCTGTACATCGTGTTGGGATGGATCACGTCTGTCAGCACGGACCGCAGGCGCAGCGAGATGGCTTTCACTGTCCACATCCTCCAGCAGACTGGCATTGAAATGCTAGTAGGGTGACCCCGGATACGCAGGGCCTAGTGTGGTCTGGGCCCAGACAAGGTGGTGATTGCTGAAAGGGGTTGGCTGGATGCCAGAGTAGTGGGCCTGGGCAAAGTGCAGCAAAGAGATATAAACCCAGTCCAACTGGGAGTGGCATGCCTGCTTCTCCCCCACACTTTTATATAGGTGAAGGCAGGGGGGTCTGTAGGATGACAGGCATGCCAGATGTCCACCATGGAGTAGTCCATCAGGATCTCGCCAAGGATGCCCACGGTGGCCTGGTTCTGCTCCCTGCCCGACCGGTTTTGCATGTCTAGGGTAATGTTAAAGTCCCTGCCAAGGACCAGGCACTTGTGAGGGTTGAGGGTGCCGATGTATGTGGCTGCCTGGTGGAAGAAATCTGCCAACTCCGGGTCCCTCACAGGGGTGTACACATTCAGGACCAGGCCCTGCATCTGGACCCAGAGGTGCAGCAGGTGGCCTGGTACCACCTCAATGTCCTGGAGAACCTCTGGCTGCAGGCCTGGGGAGAACAGGGTGGCCACTCTGCAAGAGGTGGCTGAGAGGTGACTAAATAAGACCCTGCCTCTCCACTCTAGCTGCCAGCTGTAGACTCATCGGCTAGAGTCATCAGGGTTTCCTGCAAGAATACCACGGAGTACCCTCCTTCCTGAAGGAAGGAGAGCACCCAGCACCTCCAGAGACCCTTTCTGCAGCCATGGACATTGAGGGTCACAATCCTAAATGACCTCATGGCTGGGGGGGCATGGAGTAGACA